GGCACAGAGTTCCAGCAAAGAGAAGCGAGAGAGGAAGGAAGTTCCAAGTTTCTTTTTTATGAAAGGCCACACCTTTCAGGAGGCATCCATCATCGGGCCGTGGCCTGCGTGGCAGACGGGACTCCAACAGGGGAAGTTGACAGAAAATCTAACGGCTACATTTCATTTTCCAGGAGCTTTCGAAGCCCCTTCTCAAATGCAACATTTTTGCTTTTTATTTTACTTACTTTTTCTGTATTTGTAGAAATTCTTCATAATGGGATCTTAAAATAGCAAGATACATGCTTTAAATTAACACTTTGTAGCTCTTTTAAAATAATTGGGAATATGGGCTGTTTCCAGATTTCAGCATTAATATGTAATGTGGGGTTTAACAACCTGGTAAAGGAAGATTTTTTCCCCTCCTTTTAAAAGTCTCTCATTGGCATGTATATTCCCTGATGAGTATGCCACTGGTCCAGAGCTCCTGGTCACTCTCATGATTTTATAGACTGCCAAAACTTCCTCAAGAACTATATAGCTCATCGTTTCACTACAGCCACAAGCCATCCAGGCACCTTTCTTCCAAATCCTGTCCATGTTGAGCTTGTCCTGTTGCCACATTTTTCTTTTTAATGGAAAGAAGTATTGTCTTCTAGTAGTTCTAATTTACATTTTGTAAATGCCGATGTTAACATTCACTATTATTTCTATATTTTGCCAGTTCATTAGGGATGTATATTCACTTGAAATACAAGTCTACATAGAGCAGTGAAGTGAGCATTTTGTTTGAATTAAAAAAAATTTTTTTAAACATTTTATTAGGGGCTCATACAACTGTTATCGCAATCCATACACACATCAATTGTGTAAAGCGCATTTGTACATCATTCTGAAAACATTTTCTCTCCACTTAAACCCCCAACATTAGGTCCTCATTTTTCCCCTCCCTCCCCGCTCCCCCCTCCCTCATGAGCCTGCATTGCCATATTAGCCATACGTGGCTCTTATTGAAGATAACAGAATGGTTCTCAAGTATTGATACAATCCCAATGTCATGTAAGAAACTCTAAAAAGATTTAAGGAGTTTTTATTTACCAGGCCTTGCTGTCTGAAGGTGTAATTTTTAGAAGCAAGAATTGCTTGAATGATTAATTGTACCTTTAGCTACACCAGTAAGGCCATAATTAACTGTTGGCACCTTGAAGAACATGTGCGGTGGCTAATGGTCTTGACCAATTCTTCACCCCTTACATCTATTTTTAGGGAAAATTTTGCAGCTAAAAATTTGACCATGCATTTCAGTATACTGCACTCACTTATGCTTGTCTCATGCTGTACAAAATGGTTTGTTCAACAGATTTCTCTTCAATTATGGCTAGAAACTAAAATGCAAAATTAAAATTCACCTCTGAGCTTCTGGGTTTGGACAGTAATGTCAAAATATAGATCTTGTGTAGACAACTGTGCAGCCCACTGGACATGCTTTCTTTCTTAAAATCGCTTCACTGAAATTAATAGGTCATTTTCTATTTTACCATAAAAAGTTGGTGAATTAAAAGAGAAAATATGAATCTAACCTTTCTCTCCAGGGCTTGAGAAGTGTTGAGAAGGTTTGAAAAAAAATAGAGAGACCAAGTAAACTACAGATCTCTGAACAGGTCCCACCTTAATCAAGACCCTCAACAGTCCTGCTAGAGAAGTCCTTGACACCTCTTGTCAGAGGATAGGGGGCATACAGCCTTGGGAACTCACAGGGGCAGCTCTATCCTGTCCTATAAGGTTGCTATGAGTCGGAATCAACTCGAAGGCAGTGATTTGAGGTAGTGTCACATTGAACCAAAATAGACATGATCAAAGAATCTCCTTTCGTAAGCTTATTAAACATATCACAATGTAGAGCTACTGTTTCTCAGGCCCTCCCACAGCTGGGGCCACACACTCCTCAAGGCCTTGCTTCCATCGCTCTGGCCCTGCCCAGAAGAGTTCTTCTTTTCCGTTCTCACCACATCAACATGCCAGTTTGGGTATGCGCTAGGGACTCACATGGTCTTCCTTTTCGATGTGCTTTGAGTTTAGGGCACACAAAGTTGTCTGAATGGGCAAGATCTGGGCTGCAGGGTAGGTGGGGTTTGTCAGTGGTGACTAACTGATGTGGGGGCCACGTCTGACCTCCTACAGCCACACAAGAGACTTCACTCCACGTCTGCCCAGTGATGATTCCTGTGACGTACCGTTCTGACATCTCTCTCTCCCCACCCCCAAAAATACTGCCCCCACCAACCCATCTCTCTCTTATGTTGACACCAATGGTCCCTCACACAGCACTACTCTGCTGGGCTTGCGAATCTGGTGTAATGGCCACACAGAACTTTACAGATTACAAGTTAAGATGAAAAAAAACAAACAAAACCAAATATTACAGATGCAGTCTTTTTGTCTGAAGTGCCCCTTCTCAGCTGTGCTGGTGGGCACATTTCTCCCTGGTTTTCAGTAGCTACACCATGAGCCCCTTGGCCTCTGCCCTGCTCTGGCAAGTGTTTAAAACGCTCCTTTAGGGCTGAAGAAGACTCAAAGGGCACCTCACTGTGCAGGCGAGCCTCCTGCTCAAAGGCACCCAGTTTTACTTTTCTAAGGGCGGGGAAGCCTGCTGCTCTGTCTCCTGGTCTGTCTGCTGCCCTCGTGTTTCTTCATGGTCTGGTTTGTGCAGGCTCCTACTGTTTCTGAAGATGTATAATGGACCCACAGAAATCAGAAACCCATTTCAAATTTCATGTGTATAACATCCATTCATCCACCAGTCTATCCCATGGATTTATTGATGATCATATGCTGGTTATCAAAGATTTTTGTATATTTAAAATGTGACATTTCATTACCTAGCATTTTAAGCTATGGCCCAAATTGCATGCATAGTTTGTTCTGCTGAAACCTGAAGGTAAGTTAAAATTCCTTGTTTCTTTCTCTTGACATTAGTTTTAATGTCTCACATAAAGAATCAAAAAGATTTGTGAGTGATATCTGAAATTGAATAATAAGATGTGAAAAATGGTCACATGAATCTCTCTTTTGGATCTAAACACTTACCTAAGATTCCAGTTCTGGCAGTTTGAAGGAATGAGCTAATTTAGATTCACCCCAACTATAAATTAGAATTGTTTAACGCAGAGAATAAAAATATTGTAACACATAGGTGATAGGGAAATTTCCAGTTGCCAGAAATAACGAGGGAGCTTAAAGCCAGAGCTGAAAATTTGGAAGCTTGGGAATAATTTCAGATGGGATCTAAGTCCCAAGCTATAGACATATGAACAACAAAGAGAGAGACAAAAGGGAGAGGAGAACTAAGGGGAGAGGGTAGGGGAGGAGAGGCAAAGAAGGCTGTCCGCTCTGTGAATAAGAACTTAAAATTCTCTACTCATTCTGGGGAAGAAATAAGGGAATTTGTCTTTGTCTTGGGCTCTGGATTTTTAGAAATGTTCTTTTTGAAATGAATGCCTCTTTAGCCTATGGATATGAATTTTTAAATATGAATTTTTAATTTTAATATTCACCGAGTATGAAATTCAAAACCAAGAAGCCACTATACAAATAGTTCTTAGACTATTGAAATCTTAAAATTTTTGGTCAAAGAGAATACAAAGTCACTGTGCTCACAAGCAACACTCTGGTCTCACTGAAAATGTGCTCACCAACGAAAATGACCCACCTTCCGAGGAATCCCTTTTCCACCATGAGGGAGAAACGAAAAGCAGAATGAGCACTAAGAACACTTCAGAGGTTAGGATGACAGTCCAGAAGAGAACAAAAATGATTGAAATACGAATCATTTTTTAACAAAAGAAAGGAAAGAAATAGAAACACTAAGGAAAGAGTAGATGATACGTGAAAGCACCGGGAAATTGTATCGAAGAGCCGAAAGCAGAAAAGAGCAAAGGACAAGTAGAGTCACTGCACGTACACATTCATGAACGACACTGGGGAAGGCCCACCTGCAGGGAAGACTGATAATCAGCTCATCAGTGTAACTGAGGAAATCACCTAGGTGCAACGGAGCGGAAAAGATGGCAACTCGAAGTCACAGACAGGGAACAGAGCCAGAAGCCCATTATCATGTAGCTAACAGGCGTCTGCAAAGAAAGATAGGAAGGAATAAGGAAATGCCAGTCTTCAAAATGAAGGGGAGGCTTTCAATGAATAGCATGAGCCACAGAGACAGAAAATCAGCAGGCCTTTTTGAATCCTCTTGGACAGAGAGAAGAGGATGAAAGAGGGCCCGTGTGCTCCACAAACCAGGGAGATGGCCCTCTGGAACGGCACTATGGCAGCCATCGAAAGGCCTATAGAAACTGGTCCAAAGTGGAAACTTACCAACAAAACCACCTATTGGAATCCAGAGGCATAGAGCTTTTCTAGTGAGAATGAAAATTCATACCAGCCCTGAAACCACCATTTCTAATCTCAACCCAAACCGTTATGACCAAACCCAACCAAAACTCACTGGTATGGAGTTGAGGTTAACTCATAGTGACCCCATAGAACAGCGAAGAACGGCCCCTGTAGATCCCAAGCCTTTTTATGGTCACGGGTGGTTTTAAACTGCTGACCTATTGGTTAGCAGCCCAATGAGTAACCGCTGAGCCACTGGGGCTCCAGTTAAGCCCTGTGACGAATATAGAAGGACCGATCGATCACCCGAAGGTAGCAACCTCAGACAATTCGAGGTCTGCCAGAGAAGGGTGATGATGTGGTACTTGCGGACTGAATCATCAGAAAAGATGTTCCCAGAAAACGTAGCTCTTCTGTGGTTCCTTGAGTATTTGCTAGGTATTTGGGTGGTGTTCAGCTGTGGTATCTGACGATCAAATCCGTTCATTCTGTGTAATGTGTATCAGCAGGCTTTTCATTTCATTGCTGCTTGTTCATACAGGTGAGACACAGGTGAGACAGCAGCTCTGGGATGTATGACCTACCTAGAGTTTCCTATGGATCATAATCATGGTCCACTTTTATTTTCACAGTGTGTGGACAATATAAGATGCAATGGTTTAATGACGATAGTGTTCGAAGAGAATTCCAAAGTTACGGTGCCACATATGATTAAGTAAGTATGATAATCCTTCCCCTTCCACTGAAAGCCAGCGTTTCATTGTAACATCTGTAAGACTGAATGAAAGCTGACTTCCGTGCATTCTATTTTCATTTATAATGTTTCTTGACAGTAATGTGATCATTTGTGTTATGTCGGTATAAATAATAAGGGTATCAACTCAGCTTTTCAGAGTCACAGTCTACTCTGTTGAACCACAGCGTAGGGAAATTGTATAGTCCATCGTGCTAGCTACGCCTTCACTCAGGACAAAACCCTATCAAGATTTTCAAGTTCAGAGTAGGAAATGGAAACTGATTGCTAGATGTGCCCTGAGGCAGTGCAGGGTCTGAGGGTTGACAGTGAGGTGGCTGCCTCATTTAGCATCTTCAACCAGGTTGGGCTCAAGAGATGTGTCTCCCTTTTGAACATGCTCAACCCCAATAAACTGGCGTTGTCACATTACCCGCTCACTACCGACCTGCAGGGAGCGCTGGTGGCATAGCGGTTATGTGACGGGCTGCTAGACACCAGCCACTCCTCAGAGAAGAAGAGGCTCCACCCCTGTACAAAGTCACAGTCTCAGAGACCCACAGGGGCGATTCTCCCAGTTCCAAGGGATTGCCGGGAGTTGGAACTGACTCGATGGCGATGAGTTTGATTTTAGGACTTCCTTGCACAGGGGTTTGCCTCAGAGGTGTGTGCCTATGTCCACCCTCCAGTGCCCTTTCATTTTTGTTGAAAAGCAAATCCTACCATTGAAAGTGATTGTTAGGGAAATTACAGCTTAACAAGAGTGGTAGCCCTAATTATGGACCAGGACTCTGTGTACTGGTTAGTGCTTTTCTCTCTGCATATATTTTCTGTTTCCAAATTCAGAAAGTGTTTGGGGATTATTTTGAAACTGACCAAGCTGTTCATGACTCTCATTTTCTTGGGTGTTTGCACTCCAAATTCTAAGTACCTGAAAGAAAGAAAGAAATAAAACCGCCATTTTTCTAGTAGCTCAAATATATTTTCAAAAAAATGTATGAGGAACTGAGACACTGTTTATCTTCCGTGCCTTTGTGTGTGGCTTTTTGACACCTGATTGTTTATGCAAAGGCAGTAAAAGAACAACTTTACCACAATGCCTTTCCTCTTCTGATAAGCCTTAACTGCAGTTAGCATCATCTCAATGGTATGTTGTTTTAAAGCAATTATTGGTGTGTCAGATAGAGGCAGAGTGCATAATACGAGTGGCATGATGACTACTGAAAAATGGAAAAGATAAAAGAATGGTCTGCTAATGGTATTTTAAATTGCTTGTCAACGGAAAAGGATCCCTGGTGGTGCAGTGGTTAAGCACTGGCCTGCTAACCCAAAGGTCAGTGATTCAAATCCACCAGCCGATCTATAGCAGCCTACTTCCATAAGAATTGCATCCTTGGAAACTGGATGGCGCAGGGGTGCTCGGTCGTACAGGGCTGCTATGAGTCAGAATCAGCTTGGTGGCAAACAGGTAGGGTCAAGCTGACAAACGTTTTGGGAGGGATTACTTTAAAACTCTAAGGCAAAGAATACTTTAACATGCTATTTTCTAGGTTTTTCATTCAGTATAGTTGTGTGGTTTTTTAAAAAATTAACCAGCTTCATTACAAAAGTGTGAGACTAAAGTTTTACATAAGGAATTTGAAGTCAAAACATCAAACGTTTAAAATTATGACTTAATTTTTTAACTTGCATTTTCTTATTACTTTTCTACCACCGGATTCATATTTTAATACTTCACAAAATGATGTGGATAGAGAATTGGAATTAGAATGCTCTGCGCTGGCTAGTGTACCCAGTTATCTCTTGCTGAACCATGAGACCGTTGCACACCTGCTGAAATACATTTTGTAGATTTGAAAAAATGAATAATAATAAAAATCATAGTCATGTGCCTGGCAGTTAGGCTGGTCCATGGCTGAGTCTACTTGCCTGCCCCTGTGATGGCAGTCTTCTGTGAGCCTGTGCTTACTCAGGTTGGCACAGCTACCTCACAGTCAGGCCCACCTGGGCTTTCCTGCCTTTGGGTCCACCCAAGAGATGATCCAGGGAGGGAGGGCCATGCGCCTGTGAGGTCAGAACCCAGTTCTGAGACTGAAGGAGGCTCTGTGAGAGTCCAGCGGGCTGGGATGTTTGTCTGTGCTGCATGTCCTCCCAAGGCAGTGTAGGAGTGTGAAGTATCCCTGATTTTCTTCTTTCTAGTCCCCGTGCATCTAGTATAGTTCTCCTCATTCAGAGGGAAGAATATGATTTTGCATCTCCATTTCTTTCCATGACTCTCTTCCCAGCCCACATCTTCCCTGAAATGCTATGTTCTTCTTCCCTGTGTATCTCCCTGACTCAGACCCCCAAGTCCCCACAAAATCACCACCGTTTTCAGAGATACATGAAGAACAACAATCTGATCTTAATTGTGTCTTGTTACTGACATGAAATCACTTTGCACACACTCTCTTCCTTTTAAAATGTCCTAATTACCGCAGAGCATTTGGGCTTGATGTCTCAGGGTTGCTTTTTAAATGTTTATCAAGAAGGAGTTGTGAGTATCATAGGAGACTTAAGAAATGCATTCTGTTTTTCCCGAGAGCCCCCTGGGAAATAAAAGGAGATCCTGCTCTGTGGAGTAGCAGAAAATGAAATCATTTAAGAAGAGTTCATTTCTTTATTTAAAATGAACATGTCATCATAATTTTGAAGACGGTGGAGTAATGAGCTATCTGTTCTTTTCCTGTGGGCTACCACGTGTGTGCTTGCATCCTTTCCCCGCTTGTGTTTTGCTTAAACTAATTGCAGTCAAAAGTTGCAATGCTCAACGTCAATTAGATTGCTAAACATTTATTGGGTGAAACGAGCCTTTCAGATGGCATCTGAGTGTGTTTTACATTCATGTATACAGTATGGACAGCAACGTTGTCAGAAAATGGAGGTGTCCAGCGGGCAAGTGGTGGGGGTAACGTGACCAGAAACCACCAGTTGTCCGAGGGTTCAGTAGTGGGTGACAGGAGCCGTGCTGTCTTCAGGAATCTCCAATGGTGCACTTGTGTTTTTCCAAGACCTGTGATAAGACTGAAAGTAACAGCCACCCCCCAGCAGTTCGCTGGCCGGAGTGAGCTGCTTCTTTAAATCGCTCTTTCAGACCTGCACACGAAGGACTTCCACCTGCTCCGAGCATACTGTGGGGTGGAAAGTTATTGATTCCTTTTTATCCAAAAGGAAATAAATATGCAATTGTTGATCCCCCACCGAGCGCTGAAAGGACTAATTAGGGGCACACGCAAGTTGCCGCTGGCTGTTAGCAAGCTGCCTTCTCACTGGATATCATAGGCCCTGGAGGAGAGCATCCTTTCAGCAAGCGATGAGCTCCAGGATTCTCCATCCTTGTCTGCGGCCCCTGCACTGCTGAGGACCTCTGAGGGGAAAGAGAAGGCTACAGGAGGGCCTGGCAAGGGTTGAACAATTCTCTAGAGCTTCAGGTGGCTTCAGGCTCTGCCAATCAGCCTTTGCTCTTACAAGTTTCTCCTCTCCACCCTCCTTTTTCGTCCTCGGTAACAAATGTGATCCAAGGGCTGTGGGTGCTGAGCATGCTGAGTGTGCAGCCAGGGACTCCTCAGCCTGTGGTGCGAAGGTGGGCATCGTTCCCAAGGGCATGATCCACCTGGAGTGGGTTCAGTAGATTTCCGGTGGAACTGCCTGGGGGCGAAGGGTTGGAAGCTGTCAAACAGGAGGATTTAAGGAATCGTGAAGCCGATATTGCCGCGAGTAGCATTGGGTACCTATTCAAGCAGGCTCACAGGAAGGGTTCACCCCTGCATCTCACGGATTGTTTTCCAAGCTCTCTTCTGATATTCCCATTTGGTTTTGCCCGAAGGCCATAGCAGTGTTCCTTTCCCATCCTAAATACACCGGAGGGCTTATGACTTCACTTGCCTGAGAAGATTAAACAAGATTAGCAACAAAACATAGAAATCCATCAAGTAAAATAAATCATGATTATTTACACACACACACACACACACACACACACACCACTGCCATCCAGTTGATGCTATCTCATAGCAACCCGACAGGACAGGGTAGAACTGCCCCTATGTGTTTCCAAGACTGCAATTCTTTATGGGAGTAGAAAGCCTTATCTTCCTCTTGTGGAGTGGCTACTGGTTTCAAATTATCGGCCTTGGAGTTAGCAGCCTAATGTGTAACCACTACGCCACCAGGGCTCCTATCCACAATTAATTTTGGCCTGCTATCCAATAGTGGTGCTGGTGGTGCTGTGGGTTAAGTGTTGGGCTGCTAACCCCAAGGTCAGTGGTTCAAACCCACTATTCTCTCCTTGGGGAAAACATGCATTTTCCCCAGCTCTTATAAGGATACACAATCTCAGAAACTCTCTATAGGGTTTCTCTGAGTCATCTCAATGGTAGTTGGTTTAATTGGGGGCTATACAACAAGGGCCTGTTTTTCATATCCATCTCTATATACATACAATATAACTGTGCGTGCTTTTCCAGCTCAGAAAGTGCAGTGGAGGGCCGAGCCGCAGGAGCTTGCTTGCATACACTGAACTACTCGGTGACTAGAGAGGAAGCGTCATGCTGCTTGGTTACTTGCCCCTGCTTTGTGTGCAGGTCGGATGCCCGGCTACACAGAGACGACACTGACATTTGCTTCAGTAAGACGCTCAACTCCTGCAAGGTGCCCCAGATCCGTTATGCCAGTGTGGAGCGCCTTTTGGAGCGGCTGACAGACCTGCGGTTCCTGAGTATTGATTTCCTCAACACTTTCCTGCACACCTACCGGATCTTCACTTCCGCGGCCGTGGTGCTGGCGAAGCTTTCTGACATATACAAGAGGCCCTTCACCTCCATCCCCGTGAGGTATGTCTGAAAGTCGTCTGTCACTAGAGTGCGTCCCTACTGGCTCCTGCGTCACTGGGCAGGGGGCTCTTGTCTCACCTGTGGACTCGGCTGCCCTGCCCACAGGGGGAGATTGTGATTTGAGGTCACAGATAGTTTCCGAGGTAAGATGTTGAGTCTCATCATGCTTTGTGATTATTTGGAGATTAACTCGCTTGTTGTAGGATTTTCCTGAACATAACAGTTTGAGATGAACTATTAATAAAGGAGCCTTGGTGGCATAGTAGTTACAAGTTGGGCTGCTAACTCCAAGGTCAGCAGTTTAAATCCACCAGCTGCACCACAGGAGAAAGATGAGGCTTTCTACTCCCGTAAACAGTTACAGCCTCAGAAACCCCCAAGAGCAGTGCTACTCTATCCTCCAGCATTGCTACAGAGTCGGCATCGACTCGATGGCATTGAGTCATTGAGTGAATAAAGTTTAATGTTCATTAAATAATGAATGTGATTTACAAGTGGGATTATTTAAAGCGGGAAATAAACAAGTGGGATCTTGTTATGCTATAGGTCTGGTTCAGCCCAGCAGTTTGGGGCCTGGACTCCTGGTTGGTCTTCAGACCACAGTTTAGTAGCAGGGCATCAGGAAGTGTTTAACACGTGTCTTGTGTTCTTTACACAGGACATGGGAGATATTTACACGTAGCATTTGTTGTCATTAGCTGGTGTCAGGTCCATCTCCCAGCCCCGGGGTTTCTTATGCATAGAGGAGGCAAATGCTGCCCGACCCTGCGCCAGCCCCCCAATGAGTCAGAAATGGCACCATTGTGGTCTACAGGATTTCCATCGGCTGATTTGCAAAAGTAGACCTTCCTCCCTCGGTCATCTCAGTCTGGAAGAGCGGCCGAACCTGGTTCAGCATTATAGCGACATGCACGCGACCACTGGCAGACAAGTGGTGGCTGTGCCTGAGGTGCATGGGCCAGGGATCAAACCCTGGTCTCCCTGGTGGTGAGAATTCCACCACGATCGGTGAGCACTCCCACGATCACAATCACACTGAGGCACACTCAGGAAACTTCGTGCTGTACGCCGAGGCATCCGCCCTGTTGTGCACCGTGTGGCTATGGGTCGGAATCGGCTCAATGACACCTAACAGCAGCAAACCTAGGGAACACGCTCTTGAAAGACACTTTGGAAATCACTTTCACTCGGTGATGATCTGTTCATGGGCTTTGCTCTTACTTTTAGGTCACTGGAATTATTTTTTGCTACCAGCCAGAACAACAGAGGTGAACACTTGGCGGATGGAAAATCCCCACATCTGTGTCGCAAATTCTCTTCCCCACCACCAAGGGCTGTGTCTAGAACTTCCTCCCCCGTGAGAGCCAGAAAGCTGTCCTTGACTTCGCCCTTGAACTCAAGGATAGGAGCTTTGGACCTGACTACTTCCTCGGCATCCAGCAGTCCCACGACCACCCAGAGCCCCGCTGCGTCCCCACCGCCACACACTGGTAAAGTACCGTTGGATCTTAGCCGAGGCCTCTCTTCTCCAGAGCAAAGCCCGAGATCTGTAGAAGAGAATGTAGATAACCCCCGCGTGAAGCTGTCTAACAAGCTAAAGCGAAGTATTCAAAGAGGTATTATCCACCTGCCACACTCCCATCTATTGGCCACCTGTTCTCCCCACCACCCCATTCCTTCTGGCTCCCTTTCTCCGTGCCTTTCCTACACACCTGTAGAGAAAGTAGAGTGGGTGCATTGGCTAGTTAGAAAATCCCTGTAATCCCTGCTAGCTCTTGTGGGCCGGATAGCAAGGTTAGCTGTCTTGGTGCTTCCTACAGTGAAAAAAAGGGCGTGCAGTCAGTTCTGGATTAAATGGTTGTATATTTAACTGTATTACTAGCCGGTTCTTCTTGGAACTTGGTCAAGGCTGGTGGGCTGAAGGTACTTTGCAGAGAGAAAGGCTGTGAGGAGGCCATGAGCTCATGATTCAGACAGAAGCGCTCCTCCTCCAGTGTCCACTAGAAGAATCCGTACTGCTTGCTGCCTTCCCGCTGCTGAGGATGACCTTGCCTGGAATGGTTACAAGGGATGCTTCATTCTCGTTACCAAGGCAACGCTCCCTAATACAGCAGTGACATAAGGAGAAAAATCAATTTGGTGGTGGGGTGGTGGGGGGGGTCAGTGTTCTTTCTGCATGCTGCAGCCAGGATTGTTTTGTAAAATGTGAATCAGATCGCATCATTTCCTGCTTATTTTCTTTAATGTCTTCCCATGCCACTTAAAGGAGATCCTCTCTTCCCAGATGGTCCAGGCTCTGTGGTACTTAGGGCTTGTCTTATTCTCCAAGCCCTTTCTTAGCAGGTTCTCGCTCATCGACTAAGCTCCTCAAGTTCACTCCCCTGGTTTTGGCTCCCCAGCAACCCCAGGGCCATTTGTGCTTGTTCTTTCCATCTGCCTGGTCAGTCTTTCTCAGCCCCCATGCCCGTGTGGTACATCTGTGTACCCTCGGTGCCTAGGCCGGTGCCTGGCAGGTAGCACATGTTCAAGTGAAACACTGGGTGAGCTAGTCTAAGGTCCTCCGCCTCCCGCTTCACCTTCCTCAGTTGGTTGGAGTCAGGGTGATAAGACAGGTGTTGCTTTTGAAGTCCAGCGCTGGACGATGAAAATCAAAGGGCTTATATTCAAATGAGCGTGATCCCTTCAAAATATTCACTGTGATTGGTGATATATTCATAATTGGGCACACCGTGTGCCTGCCTGTCAAGGAGGCTCGCCTAGATGGAAACAGTTCTTTGCCTGAGATCCCCAGGCGGTTGCTAGTTCACATGCCTTGAGTGGAGTTGCCCAGTGGAGTCCTTAATGGAATTTTAACTGGGGGTGGTTGTCATCCTGAAAAGTAGCACCCTGTGCAACAGAAACGTGTTTAAGTCGACAAGTTAGCAATGAAGGAGGAGGGAACGGGGAAGCTTATTAAAAAGTCATTAGAACAACAAGCTGCTGCTGAATCATGACGGATTGTTCTGTGGAATAATGAGGCAGGGCCCTAGCTGACAAGGGCATCTGGGGTTCAAGCCTCCCTGGAGGAAGTGATTTAGGGAAGAAGCTTAGCTCAGATCTGCCTTCCGGGCTAGGGCAGCCTAAGACCTACAAGCCTTTGCTAGAATAGGAGAGGTACTTTCCTCCCCCTTAAGGGATGGTGGTGATTGGGAGAGGAGCGATGTGGGGAAAGTTGGGAACCTTATGTTCTTCTGAGGTAGGGGAGTAAGCATTTCAGGTCAAATGCCTGTGCCTCGGTGGCTGTAGTTTGCTTGTCCCTGGTCCTGGATGGAGCACGGGCAGTCCTGATGAAGGGCTGTTGAATGGGCATCTTCTCATGCAGACACTGTGTTCAGGGTAACAGGGGCAGCAGGTAAAGAAGATGGGGTCCTTGCCCTGAGAGCCTAGTTCTGTGGCTAAGGTCGATACAGAGCAAGTCTGAGGGCAGAGGGACTCTCATACAAAGGCTACAGACAGGGTGTCCTGGAAGGGGAGAAGTAGGGAGATGGTGTCCGAATGAGACAAGCAAGAGTGTCACTGGGACCACCACCTAGTTGCCCCAAAGAAATGTAGGGTAGAATTTGTTGTTGTTGTTGTTACTAAAAAGGCAAAAGTAGTCTCTGTAACTGTCTGTGTTGCTGCCATCTAAACTCAAGGCTGTAGGAAGTTCATGGGAAAATGCCATCATTCTTTTTTAATTCTATTTTTCCATGAGCTTGGTGACGGTCATAGTTCTGTTCTGTTCTTCCTGTTAGTCAATTTCAACTGCTGGTTCCGGAGGTCCCCACCCAAGAGGCCCATTGCTTATTCTGATTATTCCACTGAGTGCACCAGGAATGTACCGCAGTGTTCATCAATTCCGTAATTCTGGGCCCTCAGAACCCAAGCTCAGAATGTATACCATATGTACATATGTGTGTGGTGTTGGGTTGTTTTTTTCAAACAGTACAAACCTGTCCCCCACATCCGTTTCCTAGCAGCACTGTGTGTGACTGGTGGCAACGGTTACAGGATGTTCGTTGCCATGTCCTTAAACCTGCTTGGACTCCCATCTGGGCTGGCGGCATGCCCACAGTGGTGGTGGTGGTGGTGGTCTCCAGTGAGTCCGTTCCAACTCATAGCAGCCCCATGAATAGCATTCGGAAACACTGCCCAGCCCTGACCATCCTCAGAAGGGTTTGCTTTGAGCCCATCGTCACAGCCACTGTCTCACTCCATCTCATGGCCGGTCTTTCTCTTTTCTGATGGCCCTCCTCTGCGGTAGGATCTAGGTGGAGAAATATGCAGGAATAGATAAGACTGAAGGAGATCAAGGAAAAATAAAGCTTAAATCAACTGCCCAGGAATGGACACTGGCAAAAACCTTGAAGACCTGGCGTTGCAGATGTTGGACAGCGTGGAATCGTCGTGAACAGAGACGGCTGGCGAGCCTTGTCACGTGATCACGCGGTTTCTTTAGGACCTGGCCTAGCAGACGGAGAGAACCTGTGAATAGACATATGACAGAAATATTAGCTTCTCCCTCATAATAGAGAATTAAGATACACGTGAGCTCCTAAGTTATGTTTCTCCCTGAAAGCCTCCCCAGAACATATAGCTTAGGTGACCAGATTCCTGCTTCTCCGTCAGGATGAAATTGCGCACAGTCTTCTCTCATGATATCAGCTTCACTCATTAGTTCCTTCCTAAGGCCAAAAGTCTCTCTCTCACCATTTGGGTGGACAGTTTTAGGTCCACAGTACACGATTTGAATAACACCAGTGAACTTTGTCTGACTTTATTGTCCATGCGATGACAATGCCAGCCTTTCCAAAGTTTTATAACAGGAGAACTTAAGTAGGGAATCATTCTTTTTTTTTTTTAATCATTTTATTGGGGGCTCATACAATTCTTATCACAATCCATAGATGGATCCATTGTGTCAAGCAACCTTTGTACATTTGTTGCCATCATTATTCTCAAAACATTTGCTTTCTACTTGAGCCCTTAATAACAACT